CTGAAAACAAAACATGATGTCATATAGCCTCTTTGGAGGTGGCCATATTTTAGTCCTCTTATCTCTATCTGACCATGCACAATATAAAGAGATTCCCTGGACTGCCAAAGAAGGGAAGCATGACTGCTGTCCAAGGAAGGGAGTTGATCAAAGGGGGGAAACAATGTTGCAGAATGAGGTATAGATGTAAGGGAGTCTGGGGGTGGGCACTTACCACTTCAAAGAAGGAGTATAACATTAGGAGCTCTTTCCTGTAGAGTGCCTGGGGCTACAAAAAAAAAAAGTCAAATAGAAAGCTACAGAAATAGGACCAGCGAATTTCTATTACTCACCTACAGTATTCCTGGCTATGGCTGCAGTATCTCGGGATGTGGTGATTGCTGTGCTGCAGGCCTACCTGGCGGAAAATGAGTCTACCTGGCGGAAAATGGGTCCTTGGCGGAGGTGATGGCCGGATTGCAGGCAACTAGTGGCTCAGATGCTGTGGTGGAGGCCAAGGCAATCCAGACCTCCTACATGCCTTTATCCCAGTTCGGTGCGGCTGAGCGGTGGAAGATGGAGTGAAGCTGAAGCTGGAGGAGCCGCGGATGGAGGTGTTCCTGTGACTGTCTGGGTTGCTGGCAGGCAGCTGCGGCTTAGAGTGGGTGAAAGTCGGTGGACCCAAGATGGCAGCAGCAGGACGGCATGCTCGAGGAGTCCAGCATCTCTTCCGGTGAGGCAGGCTATGATGTCAGAGCGCACTGGTTGTCACATGGCTGACATCACATGCCCCACCATCTTTGAACAGGGCACAATGGGCTGGAGACCCGGGGAGACAGGAGGCTGGCCAGGAACAGGATGCCGGAGCGGTGGAGGATGGCAGCTGGCTTTGGGAGGCAAGTGGAGGCGGCCTGAGCAGCAGAGGATGGCAGCCTGTGGTGGGGTCGGCTGTGGCTGATGGTGGCTTCTGGACAGGAGGAAGGCCTGGAGGAGCAGAAGAAGCAGTTGAAGAACCGGGTGCCTGGTAGTCTGTCTGTGTCCGGTGAGTCAGCCCTAGCAGGCGCTTGGGGTAGTTTGCCCTAAGCGGCGGGAGGCATTGCTTTTGGAGGAAGGGTTTTCGAGGGAGTTTTGGATTCCTTTTGTTCATTCGTTGGAGCCGCGTAATGCTAACAATTTGCGTTCGGCTCGGGGTAGGGAAGTGATGTTGCGGGAAAACTGGAAAAAGAGGTTTGCTTGGGTAGGATGGCGGGGCTGTTTGACTTCTCTCCGTTTGATAACCTTTGAGTGTCGCTGATGGGTTTGATCCCCAAGGAGGAGGGTGCCTATCGCATGATTCACCACTGGTCTTATTCTGCAGGTGAGTCGGTTAATGATGGGATAGATAAGGAGTTCAGCCGGGTGCGCTGTGCATCATTTGACAGGCACTGCAGTTGGTCTAGGAGACAGGGGCTGGGGCTTTGTTAGCAAAGTCAGGCATTGAATTGGTGTTCCAACTGTTGCCCGTGCATCTGAAGTGCTATCACCTCCTGGGTTTCCACTTTGAAGGGCAGTTTTATTACGACATGTGCCTTCCCCTGGGGTGTGGCATCTCTTGTTCGTATTTTGAGACATTTGTCTCCTTTCTGGAGATGGTGGTGGTGCGTGTTTCGGGCTTCGGATTGGTTACCCGTTACTTGGATGACTTTTTGTTTGTGGGAGCGCGGGGGGGACAAGGTTTGTGTGGATCTCCTGCAAGTTTTTAGGGAGGTGGTGACGGATTTTGGTATTCCAGAAGAGCAATAGAAAACAGCAGGTCCGGCGGAGGTTCTCTCGTCTCTTGGGGTGGAAATTGATTCCGCCAGAATGATCTTTCGATTACTGGACGAGAAGGTCTCTGTCCTGCTGCGATGGGTGGATCTGGTAAAAGGGGTGAAGAAAGTGCAGTTGCGGCAGCTTCTGGTTTTGCTGGGTCACCTGGCTTTTGCGTGTCAGGTCCTAACCATGGATCGAGCCTTCGGTCGACGATTATCCTTGGAGAAGGTTGGGATTCGGGAACCTTTTCATTTTATAAGGGTAACCAGGAAGCTCAAGGCGGATCTGCAGGTGTGGAACTCCTTCCTGGAGAGGTACAGTGGTCGGTCGTGCTGGCTGCAAGCGGCGGTAGAAAACTCAGATTTGGAGCTCTATACGCATGCGTCTGGATCCCTTGGCTTTGGGGCATACTTTAAGGGTCAGTGGTGTGCCAAGGCATGGTCTTGCCTTGGCACACCACTGATCCTTAAAGTATGCCCCGTTCTACTTGTGGGATAGCGGTTAATTTTCGCACGGACAACATGAGTGTTGTCCATGTGATTAGAAATGGAATGAAGACAATATCCAGAGCATTCAATCCAAATGGAAGTGAATGTCCAGGAATAAGTACAACTTAAGTTAAATAAGTAACTTACAAGCCAAAAGCCTCAGCACCGCACTGCACAAAGCTAGTGCCTACCTGAACCAAAGACTATATATATATATATAAGTAACTCCAACACAAAAAAAAGGTGCTACCTAACAAGTGCAAAAGTTACCTAACAAGTGCAAAAGTGCATATTAAAATAAATAAATCGAGCCCATGTGATTAATAGTTCCTCGTCTGCATCACCGCCGGTGTTGGCGTTGCTGTGGCGTTTAGTCCTGTTGAGTTTACAGTATAATGTGCGGGTTAGAGCGTGTCATATGCCAGGGGTGGACAATGTCATCGCTGATTCACTTTCTCGGTTACAGTGGCAGCGCCTCCGAGAAGCGGCACGGAAGGCAGATCGGAAGGGGCAGCTTTGCCTGCAGTCTTAATGGGAACTCTGTTCGGAGGATTTATGGGTTTAGTGTTGGAGTCGTTGTCGCCGTCTTCGTGGAAAGCGTACTGGGCGGTTTGGTCAAAATGACTGGGGTTTGTGACTGGGGAAGTGGTGCTTCTAGGTAAACCTTCTGTTCTTGAATAATTTGCTGGAAGAGGGGCGGGTCATGTGCCGTGGCGGAGAAGGCTCTGGCCGCACTATCATTTTTGTTTCGATTCCAGGGTTGGAGGGACCTCACCAAAGAGTTTAGTATTTAAAGAGTGCTTTGGGGATGGCGGAGGCCAATCTCCGTGCAGTTGCTATGGGAATTGTTGGCAACGCTGCGGCGAGTGTGCAGTTTGGAATATGAGGCCTTATTGGTGGCGGAGTCTCCACTGCTGTTGGCTGATGTGCGACGGTCAGATGTGGATATACTAATCCACAAATCTAAAACGGGTCAAGTGGGAGTGGTGCGTGGGTTCGGATTGGTATAGCGGGCGGGGAGTTTTGCCCGGTGCGTTTGTTTCAAGGCTTCTTGGAGTTCTGACCAGGAGGGTCGCTACTGGTGCATTGGGACAGGTCTCCGTTGACGTGGTATCAGTTCTACAAGGTGTTGAGGGAGTCATTGGTCACTAGTGGAAGGAGTCCGACAGGTTACTCAGCCATTCATTCCGTATCGGGGCAGCCACTCAGGCTAGCGTGATGGGTTATTCCGCGGCATCGGTGCAGATGTTAGGTAGGTGGAGTTCAGGTAGGATTCAATTGTATGTTCATCCTTTAGTAGTCAGGGTTGGGGCGGGGTTTACCGAGCGGCGGAGGCGGGGCTTATCGAGAGGCGGAGACGGGGCTAATACCTCCCGAAGCCCCTGCTGTACAGGAAGAGGGAAAGATGCTTCCCCATCAGCCAACTGCATCCACTGGAAAGAGGTAAGTGTGTGTGTGTGACTGTTTGCCTGTTTGTGTGACTGTCTGTCTGTGTGTGTGTGTGACTGTCTGTCTGTGTGACTGCCTGCCTGTGTGCGTGTGACTGTCTGTGTGTGTGTGTGTGTGTGACTGTCTGTGTGACTGCCTGTCCTTGTGTGTGTGTGTGTGTGTGACTGTCTGTCTCTGTGTGTGTGTGTGACTGTCTCTGTGTGTGACTGTCTCTGTGTGTGACTGCCTGCCTGTGTGTGACTGTCTGTCTGTGTGTGTGACTGCCTGTGTGTGTGACTGCCTGTATGTGACTGCCTGCCTGTGTGTGTCTGTCTGTAACTATCTGTCTGTGTGTGACTGCCTGCCTGTGTGTGTGACTTTCTATCTGTGTGACTGCCTGCCTGTGTGTGTATAACTGTCTATGTGTGTGTTACTGTGTGTCTGTCTGTGTGTGTGACTGCCTATGTGACTGTCTGTCTGTGTGTGTCGCTGTAGCTGTGCCATTGTTTGTGCCTGTGCCTGTATGTGTGACTGCCTTTAACTGAGTGTGTGTGTACATGCCTGTAACCGAGTTTAAATTTCCCCCACCCCTTCCTGTCAAGGCCGCACTTTGACTGACAGACGCTCACTCACTGACAGACGCACACTCACTGACAGACACACACTCTCATATACACTGACAAACAATGACATACACACATACACTATTACTTGGACACACACTGACAGATGCACACTCTCACTGACAGACGCAAGCACTCACTGAAAGATGCACGACTCCACTGACTGACACACACTCACTGACCGACACACACTCACTGACCGACACACACTCACTGACCGACACACACTCACTGACCTACACACTCACTACACACTCACTGACGACACACACTCACTGACGACACATACACACTCACTGACGACACATACACACTCACTGACTGACACATACACACTCACTGACTGACACATATACACTCACTGACCAACACACACATTCACTCACAGACACACACACATTCACTTACAGACACACACAATTACACACTTACAGACACACACAATTACACACTTACAGACACACACACACACACACACACACACATTCACTTCAAAATAAACACTCACAGACACACACACAGACATTTCCACTAACACTCACAAACTAATATTTTTTACATTTATTTTAAATCCACCCAGCCTCCCTGGGAAAGCTGGAGTGGATTTCTTACCAGCAGTCCAGTGTGGCTGCTGGGCAGGCAGGCAGGGGGCGCACAGGCTGAGTAAGCAGCGCTTAGTGATGCCGGGAGCCGGACTGACGTCATATTCTGGCTCCCGGCTTCATTAAGCGGCGCAGAGGAAGCTGAGCAGGAAGAGCTCAGGTGAGTATGCTCCTTCGCTGCCCGCTGCCAGCCTTGGGGGGGCTCAAAAGTGGCCAGCCGGTCAGCTCTTGAGCCCCCCAGGATGCGAGGCAAGCAAGGGATCTGCCTGGGGGTTTGGAGGGATGCTTTTTTTTGCCGCCCCCTGCAAAGTGGCGCCCAAGGCAGATGCCTTGTTTGCCTCGTGATACACACGTCCCCGGTGCCTGTGTGTGTTACTGTATTCAGGCAACTTGGTGGGAGGTGGGGGGGGCGCCGTGAAGACTTTTTGCACAGGGCGCCTAATTGCCTAAGGCCGGCCCTGGTAATGATCTAGGCAGGGCGAGGACAATTGACTTGATTCACTCCATAAACGATGATGTTGCCAAGTGTACGGCATTGTTTTGGGACGTTACAGTGGTGTGGTCGGAGGTGGTTCCCAGGCCATGTTGGCAGCTCCTGCCTCATGCAAAAGGGCTCAAGCACAGTAGGCGAAAACTCAACATGACGATTGTGAGGTTTGTACGGCGGCTTAGGGGGATTGTGGTCAGGCATGTTAAGAAAGAGACAATACCAATTTGATACGGAATCTTATAGGTCTGGATATATTATTCAACATGCTGGGAAGCTGGGATTGAGAGGGCATTAGACATGTGCAATTCGTTTCGGTCCGAATGTGAATTCGGACGAATTTCGGGCAATTCGGACATTTGGGTACTTACGAAAGTTCAAATTGCCGAAGTGCCTAATTGCCGAAGTGCCGAATTGCAGAGGTCCCGAAGTTCCGAAATTACCGAATTTCCGAAGTGTCGAAGTTCCGAAGTGCTGATGTGCCGAAGTTCCGAAGTTGCCGAAGTTCCGAAGTGTCAAAGTGCCCAAGTGCCGAAGTTCCGAAGCACTGTATTGCCTAAGTACTAATATTCTTACCCAGTGAAAGAAGAAGAATATTACATTGTATACAATTTTAAATAAAAAGTATACAAACATAGCCAGGATTCAGCTGTAAGCATTTGCAACACTTACAACAATCAAGTAACATAAATTCATATAAAATGTAAGTTACTTAGCCTGTCAATGTAATGACAGGAATGAATAAGTAGATAACTCCCTAATTCCCACGGTATTAGGGAGCTATCTACTAAAAGGCTGAAAGACCTAAATTGGTCTTTCAGCCAAATTTACTAATACTAAGTAAAGATTACTTAGTATTAGTAAATTATGCCCCTACCTGCTATACAGCGAGGAGGGGCATGTCTATTAAAATCTGTAAAAAAAAAAAGAGAAAAAAAAAGGTCCCCCCTCCCGAGCCCCCACCCGCGACGCGCGAGTGGGGGCTTTTAAACTAAAGGGCTGCTCACTGTTTACTAGACATGCTCCTACTCGCGGTATAGCGAGTAGGGGCAAAATTTACTAATACTAAGTAATTTTTACTTAGTATTAGTACATTTGGCTGAAAGACCAATTTAGGTCTTTCAGCCTTTTGGTAGATAACTCCCTAATACCGTGAGTTATCTACTAAGCAGCTGAAATAGAAGTCCCGAAGTGCCGAAGTCCCGAAATTCCGAAATGCCGAAGTTTTGAAGTTCCGAAATTCGGAAGTTCCAAAGTGTCGAAGTGCCGAAGTTGCCGAATTTCCGAAGTGTCGAAGTGCTGAAGTGTCGAAGTGCCGAAGTGTCGAAGTGCCGAAGTGTCGAAGTTCCGAAGTGTCGAAGTTCCGAAGTGCTGAAGTGCCGAAGTTCCGAAGTTCCGAAGTTCCGAAGTTGCCGAAGTTTCAAAGTGTTGAAGTGCCGAAGTTGCCGAAGTTTCAAAGTGTTGAAGTGCCGAATTGCCGAAGTTCCAAAGTGTTGAAGTGCCGAATTGCCGAAGTCCCGAATTGCGAAAGTCCTGAATTTCGGAATGCCGAACCGAACCGAAAAGTTTCACCATGAACATGCCTAGAGGGCACTGGCGGTGGGGACGTGATGCCAGGAGAGTGTGAAGGAGGCTGGCATCGCAGTGATGGGATACCTGGCCAGCGCATGTGAAGGCAAATTCCAATTCGGATTGGGGAGTCACAGCCTGCTTGGGTTGAAGGCAGAAGGCTGGCTGTTTCGTACTCTGGGAACTGAAAGTGATATCTGTCTGGTGGATTAATCACCCCCATTATTTGACAGGTGGAAGTTAATGCTGGTTCAAAAGTTCAATAAAGCTGTGGCCGTTGCCCCTATCCACTATACAAGTATTTGTGTAGTGGGAAGGTTTACATGGGTCAGCAGTCAGGGGTTTGAAATCATTCAAGAGTCCATTTTTAGATACCCTGCACTTGTGAATGATGTCATAATTCATGACTACACACTAGCTCTTGATTGGCCACGAGTTCTTTGGTCAGATAAGCAGTGTTTACAACCAAAGAGAACTTAAAGATGGCTGCCTATAGAGCAAGGATAACCCAAGAGATGCACTGAAAAGTGAGTTAATTTCCAGGCTTGTGCTTCAGGTGATCCGATAGTTGTCCAAGTGTCAGTTGGCTTGTCCAAATATTGTCATATATAATATTCAGAAATATTATTTGGAAGAACTAAAATGGCGTACCATTGATATAATCAAACGAACATGCTTGACCATAGTGTTAGCCATTGTTTGGTTATACGTCCATAGGGTGCTTTGGATTTACAGAATTTGGATGGCCTTGGACAAATTGCAATTCAGCTGAAAATGAATGCACAAGTCTAGTAATTACTTACATATATACATTACAAAATATCTGTTGCCTTTTTGCATGTAATCTTTTATTTTAAATAATTATAAAACACTATGACTATTTTTGGGGAATTCCTGTAAAACTAAGTGACCTTATTTTTACTGTATTTATCTTGAAAAAAAAAAGCTGGGGGCTTTTGGAAAATGCTGGGGCAGCATCTATACTTTATTATACAGTGAAAATGAATCTGTCAGTGCATTAACAAACATTGTCTTTATATCTGGAAACCAGAAAGTGTTAAATTTGCATGTGTTTTCTTTCAAAATTGCGATGATTCTGTGACTTCCTGTTTGTCAGGCTAAGTACCCCCTTACTGCTCCTCTAAAATTTCCCAGCTAAAATAACATACTGATTCCCAGGCAGATTTTACCCCAGTGCTCTCATGCTTGCATCCTCCCAGCATGTAACTGTGTCCAAAGGAAGATGTTGTGAGGATAAAAAGCACAGTGGGAGCAGACACTGTTTGTCATCTGACTATATTGTACAATGTTTGTTTTTGTTTGCATAGACGGCAGTTTCAATGAATTCCCTTTCATAAAGTGCCATGACTTGACCTAGCAAGTGATTCAAGTTTGCTTTTTCATGGTTGTCTGGAAAAATATAATTCTGTTTTGTTCAATAGATTAAGAGATAGACTTTATGACTATCCAATAGTTTCACTTTTTAATTAGTTTCGTGTGGGGTTTTTTTTGCGTGTGGTTTTTTTTTTGTTTCTCCTTAGGCTTTGATTGTGAAATTTAGGACAAAACAGAACCAGTATTTTCTGTAAATATTCCAATAAAAATATTGAAGGGCTGCACTATAGGACCGAGACCAGTCATAAGGGGTAAAGCAGTAACATTTGTTTAACCTGTACATTATGGAGGACAAGTTTGACATCGTTATGCATGAATGCCCTTTACAATGACTCATTCAGCACAGTGGTGACTTCTTCACATGAGCAATCACATTTTTTCCATGTTAGATTTCCTTAAGTGACAGCCAATGAGCATCTCTAAAAGTCAACCCAAGACTATTTTAATGCTCTATGAAGTTAGGGTGGAGAATCTCCCAATAATTACTTTTTGGATCGTAAAAGTATGAGTCAGCTTCAAGTTCAGTACCAATTGTGAACATCTGATTTTTCTCAATTGATTTTCTTTAGAATGTCTGTAGTGACCCGATAAATATGTATGTTTATATAAGCGCTCATCACTTTTTACCATTGCTACTTCATTTTGTCAATCTCTTTTGTCATTTTTTTTATGGTGCAGCAATGATAAAATACAGATGTGTCAACTAGCAGTAGAGGAACAATGCAACAGCATATTATTACAGAATAGCTGTACAAAATACCTATCTAAAAATGGAAGCTCTTACTTTCATCCTAAAAAAAGAGATCTGACCACTCATTATTGGGATGAAAGTAAAGAAAACGAGTGAAGAAAACAGATCACACAAAACAGAACTCAGGGAATTGAACAGCCGTAGACATACTGATAGCAACTACATACTATGTAATAAAAAGTAGCATAAACAACCAAGGTAAATGAGGAAATGCAATTGAAAAGTGAAGAGGCAAACTAAAAAAAAAAACAACCAAAGGTCCAACATTCAAAAATCAAGTAGGCATATAAAGAATGAGTTGCCCGAACGAGTTGCCCAACCACATGCTGTCCAATAACAGTTCAGCTGATGCCACATTTTGGGAAATACATTTGACAAAGTTGGGTACATGTAGAGGCCCAGCAGGTCCTCCATAATATAGCCCTGATTAACTATAGAAAAGCACCAGCTGTCACCCAGACTCTGATTTCGCGCCATTAATCAGGCTGTCCCTTGCTCCTGAATTGTTGGCCTGGGGAAGTTCCAGCTGAAGCTCATTGAACAGTAGGTAGGGTCTTCGGCAGGGTTGTGACGGTACCCAGAGGCACAGCTCTGGAGTGAGGTGAGTATCATCCAGCCGCCATCTTCTACTACACATTACTATTTATTTTATTGACTCGACCTTTAAAAACCACACACAGCCGCTTGTTTGTGGTAGTTTGTCCTCCATCTGATAGCTGCAATTATCTCTAGTTACATTAATATACTGTGACCATCACTTTAATAACAGGTGCTCTCAACAAGTTTCACCTGTAACAATTTCCACCCTCTCTCTTCTAAATCTGTGAACAACAACGCTGGTTTCAAGTAGATTGTCCATCATATGACCTGTTACTGAGCCACCTGTATGTTTATTTAGTAACAAAGTCTTTGTAACGATAAAAACAAGCCTGAGAGTGATGCATCTCAGACCATTACAAGGCAGACCAGCCATAACTCATCAATTACTTCTGAAGACATTCTGTTTGTTGTTATCAAGCGGATGAGAGCTCTGCTACTCACTTCTAAACGTTTCTGCATTAAAGATATTCTTTTTACTTTGCTCAGGTGAGTTTTATGTTTAGACACAGGCTGATTACTATTTACATGTCCTCCTTTACTTTGAAGATGATCACCTTGAAAGTCAAAGTAGTAGCTAAAACATCATTGTATTTAGCTGTAATTT